GCGCAGATAGCCCTCGTGTAGCTTTGCGCGAAATTCCAAAACAAACAAACAAACATATGTAATAAATATACCGGTTATCAACATTTGATACCCTATGATAATACAGCATAGCAACACTCACTCTGTTCTAATAATAATGGCCAGTTTTATGAGAATCTTTTTCATTTTACTATTTAGGAACTTTCAAAAACACTTTTGTAAGAATAATACTGTCTTTTAACAACGGAGAACAGTCTTTCACAATATACAACTTTTAAAGCGAGAAGTGTGAATAACAATAGTTTCAAACCAGTGAACGAAACGTTGTACCTGTTCAAAAACTAAATATTTCTTATTGTAAAAGCTGTAAATTGTAATAAAATATAATAACAACAGTGATTGTTTAGTCTTTGCTCGGGTTCATTAGGGTGTCTACCTTTTTATAAAGCCGTAAGGTGAAACGTGGGAATACAGAATTTGTATTGGACACTGGCTATTGCTCTTCATTAAACAATGTCTCGTGTTTACACTTACATTAAAAATCACGTAGCTATCCCGTATATCTTACCTAACCAAATAACAAAGAACAAGCAGCAGTCGAACAAGTTTACTTTCTTTTAATATCGGATGGTTTAGTAAACTAATTGAACGTTTTATCCTGTACATGGATAAGCGATCCTTACCTCGTGTCCTGTTCTATTGATATAGCGAATCCAGTCATGCACTCCTGGTCTCCAGTACTCCAACTTATACTGCTCAGCATATTCCTGACCCTGACCGTTACCGAATCGACCCTGAGTAGCTACTTGGGTGATCACGTGCAGACTGTGCAAGTTGATCTCGAGGTATTCATATGTATCTTTGTCAATTTGGCGGGATGGACACCAAGCACCACTGTTCACCTCCTGTTCTAGCCTTTGAAAACAAAGTTCAGAGGTCATCATCTAGTTCCGTATGATATTTTGCTAAAATATTGGTATAATAACAAGCTTACATCCTAAGAAATTCATTTATGCTCTAAAGTTATAAAATTGAATTTTTATACGCCATATAAAATATTTTCATTTTTATCAAGTGCCCTAAAAATGTAAACTTGTTAACTTATTGATGACTATTTGTAGAATAAAGTTAAGCCTAAATACTTTGATTTAATAAAGACTAGATATCTTGCTTTCAATAAACGATGTTAACTATTAATTGTCGTGAAATAATTCAGTTTTAATCTGTTATTTGATGCTAAAAAGGAAAGGTTTAACACACCCGAGAGACCAACTTAGGTTTTAGATATAACAATGGAAGATGAAAATCGTTCATAAGTATCATTAGCTAAATGTAATAATGTTGTAGTTAAGAGTTCAGAGATGACTCGGTGTTGTAAGAAAACGAAGAAAGTGCAGTCACTTAAAGCTTTTACTAATTGATATTCGGCATTAAGATAAAACCATGGACAAATATGTAAAGTAAAAATGTCATTAAACAACTGAAGTCTGAAAATAAAGAAGTTTCCACACAAGATATAAGCATCTCTTTAAACTTTGAATTTCAATTATCCGTAAAAAGCATTTATCTATTCTTGAATAACTTAACGATTCAAACAACCCACTATTGGTCTTGCTCATGACGTCGGATAAATTTCAAAACTTAATTTTTCTAATATATCATAATACAAAAATCTCTGAACCAGTCACTAAGCAAACTGATTAAAATAGTCATTTGTATTAGAACTAAATGTAAATGCAATGTGTTATAACTTGGAAATGACTCTATTGTAAAGGATTTCAAACAATTGAATTATGTTTTATTGTGAATATGATTTATGAGAACAGATGTAGAAAACAGGGCTCAAATTCTATACACCAGTTAAGTCAGTGAATGCGCACTCATCTTCCTGTTTCTTAGCTTATATACGGACCACCGTTAAGTGAGCGTCCATAATTAAGCAGGGGAATGACACCTGGAAGAATTAATGACTAAGTAATAAAAATAGGATGACAAAGGAAGCGACTAATAACTCCATCGCGTCTTGGTAAAATGACAGTTTACAAATACCCTCGCTGTAAGGAAGAGATAATGGAATTTTAACAATATAAGGAAAACCATTATAGCGAATTTCTCTTCAGTGAATCACAAGAATATATACGGTCACTCCTCAGTTGTATCAGCAAAAGGTACTTGGTAACTTTAGTGCAATGAAAAATTAGCCAAGATAACGAGAGAGTGGAGAATACATTCGTACAATTCATTATCTAATGTACTATTAAACACTTTGGCTTTTGTTTAATCACGTAAAAAGCAGCAGGTGCTAGAAGGCGGACCCGTTGTTCCTAAAATTTATGTCTCGGTGGCTCCCTCTTTTGACTAATAATCCTGATTGACATCCGAGGGTTCTTGCGAACTTTGGTTCGTCCCACGTGGCCGATCTATCACCTGATGGCTACCATTCAACACTGTATGAGCGGATTAACATGTCTTAGTGAGATGGAGAAAAATAATGGTTGTATGTTTACACAGACGCTTCCTTCTAGTCGAATATCGCAATATTGATGATTCACAGCTTGCCTTGATAGTGAAGTATTGGACAAGAGAAAAGTGTCAGTATGTGACAAGACGCTTTGGTTTTTACCCCAATCTTCCGTTCTTACCACAAAGGGCTAAGAGTAGCTTTATTTGAGCGCACGAGCCTATCCTTCATTCTTTATACGAAACAAAAAAAAGTGGCAAGCAGTGTAATTCATCACTTTCAGCACAGTGTCCGTGTCTATGAACTTTCTTATAGTTCCGATAATAAGCTTGTCATCTCATTATTTGCCTTGACAACAAGGTCTGTTTGATTGCCTGACAACACAGCCGCATGGACGTGAGCCCATCTGACACATCCAGTCTCCGCAGTTTTTTTTATCTTCCTTTCATTAATTTTAAAGCTGAAGTAATTTCCGATGATAGTCCTAAAAAAATATAGATAAAAGATAAAACTTTTTAATAATTCCTACTGACAATTTTTGAGTAAACATTGCCACATTAAGGATTTTCGTATTTATTTATGTCGGGAAAAACTTAGTGAAGGTTATATACAGTCTTGGCCAAAATGTTTGCACGCTGTTCTATATGGATGTTATTATCTACATGCATCGAGTAGTTATTGAGTAAATGCCCGAATAGCAACAGAGAAGGTTGCGTATGATCGGATAAATATGTACGAGTTGTTATTATGGTCTGTATAAGTTGTTTTAGCATTTATTGGTCAAATTACACATACACACCTGTTTTGTATAAAAGGGTGTGCTTTTGGTATAATATTTTTCGAAACAGATCAACGCTTTGTACTTGGTGCAAAGTCATACCTCGCCAAAGGTTATAGGTCGTCAAATTGTTCGACTGTCCAGAATTGGTATGAAGCAAACGGACATTGCTAGAACAGTGGGGTACTCCCAGTGTACTGTATCCAGAATCCTGAAATGTCACCGGACTACATGAAAGGTTGTTCTCAGAAAGTCTACTGGTAGAAACCGAAAAACTACTGCCCGAGATGACCGTGTTTTGATCAGGTTAACACTTCAAGGTTGAAAGAAGTATTGCAACACCTTACGACAGGAATTGTATGAACACATTCATTCTAGGGTATCCAGAAGAACAGTGAATGGGACACCAGAAATCACCGCCGTCACCATGTTACTTGGGCAAGACACTAGTGACATGTCATCTTTCTAGATGAGTCCTGTTTCACCTTGTTAAAGCTGATTGTAGGATTCATGTTCATTGTTGGCCTGGAGAACAAATGAGGGTACTGCAAACAGGACGTGGTGCAGTACATGTTTGGGCAGCTTTTCATCATGGTGAAAAACTGCTCTTCATATCCTCCAGAGAAACTTCAATAGCACCTCCTATAGGCATCACATTTCTGCCATATGCTAGGACAAGGTTTGGCAATAACTTTGTGTTCCAGGATGACAATGCCACTATACACAGGATTGGAACGACCAGGAGGACGTTACAATATTGCCATTGTCAGGAACGTCTCCAGGTTGTAAACCAGCTACTGTAGCTGAGTTGCGGCGCCTTCTAGTAACAAGTTGGGATGAAATCACAGTTAATTACATTAATAACCTCATCGACAGCATGCCACGTCGCCTTGCGGAGGTTATTAGAGTACAAGGAGGACCAACCAAATACTAGATGTTAAATATGAACTGATATAAGGTTATAGACGCTATTTATAATAATTTGATGTTATATTTTATCATTTTATATGTTTTGGTAAGTTTTTGTTGTGATAGATGAAATGTTGAATAACACATCTTTCTATGGGTATCTGATAAAGTTGTATGCTGTTCTAATGAATCGTTCATGATGTCCACAGAACCTGTCTATTTATACAAATTACATATGTAGATATTTAATATAACATCAATAACCTCATCGACAGCATGTCACGTCGCCTTTCAGAGGTTAGTAGTGTACGAGGAGGACCAACCAAGTTCTGAATGTTTAATATGAACTGATATAAGGTTATAGACGCTATTTATAATAATTTGATGTTATATTTTGTCATTATATACGTTTTGGGTAAGGTTTTGTTGTGATAGATGAAATACAGAATAACGCATCTTTCTATGGGTATCTGATAAAGTTGTATGCTGTTCTAATGAATCGTTCATGATATCCATAGAACCTGTCTAATTACACAAATTACATATGTAGATATTTAGTATAACATGCATTTCTCAGATTGACAGCGCTAAGTGTATTTGTATTTCATCTTAATAGTGATGATCTTATTTGTTACAAAATATGCAAACATTTTAGCCAAGACTGTACAAACCTCTATATATATACTTTATTTATAATTTTAAATCTTAGATTTTGGGTATTTTATGTTTTAGTTAGAACGGTAAAGCCAAAGGCCACCGAAACTTTCTCTGTGTTGCGTATATTTTTACTGAAACTATTACTATTTTTATGTATTTTATCAATGCTAAAAAGCATGTTGAGATATAAAAAAAAACTTTAAAAACGTATGCTATTCTTCCAAAACTTTGAGCGTCGAAAAAAAACAACCAAACGTCACAAAACATCATGATGGAAAAATAAAGTTTGCGACTGAATATTAAGTTGAATTTTGACAACAGAAAAGCTTTCTTACAATATCGCGAGTTTTGCATTTATTACAAAACATTTTAAAACTTTGTTATTTATAGCTTCGATTATTTATGCATTTTAATGTTGATATTGTCATTTATGGTCTGTATTTCTAGCAATCTTCAGGTGTTTCAAAATGCAATAGATTAATTGGAAAAAATCAACAACCAATAAAACCCCACCTTCGTTATTCGTTGGCCAGGTGGTTAGGGCACTCGACTCGCAATCTGATGGTCGCGGGTTCGAATCCCCGTCCTATCAAACATGCTCGCCCTTTCAGCCGTGGGGGCGTTATAATGTGACGGTCAAACCCACTATTCATTAGTAAAAGAGTAGCCCAAGAGTTGGCAGTGGGTGGTGATGACTAGCTGCCTTCCCTCTAGTCTTTCACTGCTAAATTAGGGACGGCTAGCGCAGATAGCCCTCGTGTAGCTTTGTGCGAAATTCAAAACAAACAAACAATCGTTATTCGTTAAGACAGGAGCCGAAAGAAGTAAATTGAATTATTTGTAGTTTATTTAATTTGGTAGTTTTCCTTTCTGATACAATTCTTATTTTAAATCAACTAATAGGTCGCAGTAAAAGAGTAATTAAAAGTAAGCGTATGGGTGAGGAATTGTTACAATCTATGAAGAGTATTAAGAGATTTATCATTGCCAAGAACACGATTGTCGGCACATGCTATGTGTTAAGCTTGTCAAGAAATGCGAATAAACCTATCGGGCTAAAAGATTCAATAGAAAAAAAGTGCCACTTTTAGCGATTGCTGAAAGCTGATCCGTTTCAACTGGAATCCCCAAAAAACATTAAATGTAATATAAAGGAAAATAGACCGTTAACACAGCTGTGGCCATAGCCACAATTTATCATTGAACTAACAGCATCTTGAATCGAGTTACGAGGAATTTATTGTCTCAAATGCACATGGTTTACGCCAGAAAAACCTCATTACAAGAAGTTTCAATTGATGGGCCTCTAGCAAATCCTTTCAAGTCTTTCGGCACTCATCCCTGTCAACCTGAGGCTTTAATACCGCTGCGGTACTGGCGATGCTCGTGGGAGAGTGACACTCCAGCATGCAGATGCTCTCATCGTTCTCCCTGCAGGGCTCATTAAGCTCTGGGGATGAGCAAAAAGCGTTGGGTTATCGACACTTGGGCAGGACGTAATCGTACTTGTTGGATGACAAATACAAGAACGTGATCCGTCAAAGAATTTCTTGTGAGAAAAAGCACTCTTGTTCCTTGTTCCTGTACAGACTAAATGGTTTCCCACTTAAAATGAGAACAATACCGCTCATCAAAGATTTAACAAAGTCATTGAGATGAGCCACTGTCCTCTTCATATATGATAACTTATACTGGACTAGAAATAAGAAAAGCTTTGTGTAAGGCAGGGACGTTCTTGCTTAATGTAAAACAAAAAAATCTATTCTTTAGGAGTTTTTCTTTGTGGTAAAAACTTCTCTTCTTTTTGTAACTTATTTTCTTTCTTGCTCAATTTTCTCTATTGTTTCTTTCTTGTATGGCTCATTCGGATGACTTTGTCGGCTACGGCAAACGCTTGGTTTAATTATTTTGTTCTATTGTCTTATTTTATCAGAAGCTAAATTTATAACCGATAAAATAAGAAACCTAAAAATATTTTCCCTCGTAACAAATACTCTCGCAAGGTATTTTACGACTATACTTACGAGTAAAAGAAACAATGACAAAAATCCTTATCATTAGAACAGCGCTTACCAAATAAAAAAAAACTACATTCAAACACCATTATATCAATAGCTCAGATGTTCCCAATAAGTCAGATATTGCTAAGAAGATTCAGTCTAAAAATTATGCTATCTTGTGAGTTGTGAGATGAAAATAACCGTGGTTGCATATGTACAAATTCTATACTGATTTGTTCATCTCACCGTCAATTTTTTGTACTATACAGATGTAAAGAAAGTTTATGTATGTCAAACGGTGATTAACGTTATTACTATTACTAGTTTGTTCACATACTCCTGTGAGACATGTTTTTCGTTTTTAGGTGGCTGGAACTTCTCAAGTTTGTGGACACTTATTATGACAAGAAAATGTATCAGACTTGTAATACTGAAAGCGTACTACCGTTTATAATACTGTGATAATTCGTTGTAGCCCAGACTTTTGCATCAAAGAGCGACCAAACATAAATGATCCTAGTAACCTTTCATCACACTCTCATGAATATCATATCCTGAAGTTTCAACATAAAAGACTCTCTCTTTTTTTTTCAAGTCTTGAAACTAGTCTAGCTGATGTAATTTGATCAAAATACTTTCCTTATAAAACCTACTGTTTAGTGCGTAAGTTTAGTGCGTAAGTGTACTTTAATATTCTAATGCTATCCTGAAGTTTTCTTTTCCATTCATCCATAAAACGGGTGTTTATTTTTCTTTAAAAAAAAGCCCATTTCTCCTGTAGTTTTCCTGTGAGTTAACTTTCTGCTTTTTCACAGTTCAATTACTCTCTTTTATGCTTGCGAGGAGTACATAACAGCCCCACGGCGACCAGAGCAACAAAATCTGTTCAAGTACTTGCATTATCTCAGCCATCTTGCTCTAAGAAATCAGAACCAGTTTAGTTGGGTTTTGAACGCTTCTCATAGTTGAATTTGTTATCTAAAGTGAGCTCACATTTATTTTGTTTGTATAAAAATACATTAAATAACAATTACCTGCCAAACAATACTCTCCCATAAATACATTTACGCTCACTAAGGATACTGCTAATTATACACGAATGACTTTCAGTCACAAACGATTGTTAACTTTTTGTTATCCTTCTATTTATGTGAATCTTGCATACTAAGCCTTCCATACGCTCACTAAGGATACTGCTAATTATACACGAATGACTTTCAGTCACAAACGATTGTTAACTTTTTGTTATCCTTCTATTTATGTGAATCTTGCATACTAAGCCTTCCATACGCTCACTAAGGATACTGCTAATTACACATCAATGACTTTCTGTCACAAACGATTGTTAACTTTTTGTTATCATTTTATTCATGTGAATCTTGCATACTAAGCCTTCCATACTTTCGATACTAGTATGAAATACCTGCACTCCGCTGTGGGGTTCAAAGGCCCTTTCATATTTCACAAAGGCCCCAGTGTACCGATAAAGCTCCTCCATTATCCCCAATTACTAGTATAACTACTCCAAGTGGTGATCATACACGAAAAAAAGAAAGAATAGAAAACCAGTTAGGTTACACGTTCATAGTAGCTGAGCACGTATGCTAAGTTTGGTTCTGCTAACTTGTGAGAGGGGATATGATTACAGTTTCAACCATGGCGGACTCGGGACCGATAACACAAAATTCGATGCCAGATTCGTGTTCAGCAACCCTGAAAACCCTCTCTTAGACCTCCATAATTCCTTCATGGCCTTTCAAGTGCGTTTTAGCCCCCTTAGTGGCCCGGCATGGCCAGGTGGTTAAGGCACTCGACTCGCAATTTGAGGGTCGCGGGTTCGAATCCCTATCACACCAAACATGATCGCCCTTTTAGCTGTGGGGGCGTTATAATGTGACGGTCACTCCCACTATTCGTTGGTAAAAGAGTAGCCCAAGAGTTGGCGGTGGATGGTGATGACTAGCTGCCTTCCCTCTAGTCTTACACTGGTAAATTAGGGACGGCTAGCGCAGATAGCCCTCGTGTAGCTTTGCGTGAAATTCAAAAACAAACAAATAAAAACAAACCCCCTTAGTAGGGGACTACGCCGTATAAATAAAGATACCCCATGAGAAACCCCGAGTCTGCCTATCATTTGATCTTGTAGGAAGATTTAACTGGACATACCTACATATATACATATTACAAGTTAGATTAATATAGGATTTAATGAAGAGTATTAAATGCTTATTGTTTTTATTGTAATTTTAAAGACACTAATGATAATATCCCCCAGTGGCACAGCAGTAAACTTTAAGGCTCATAGCGCTAAAGTCCAGAGTTCGATTTCTGTAGAGGTCACAGCATAGAAAGCCTTTTGTGGTTATAAATACGTTAATTGGAGAGCCACCTACCGAGCTGTTCGAGGGCCTACAGCGTCATTGTACGATGAACTTGCTGTGATATCTTCATCTTTGATGTCCCCTGACTTCATTCCTAGGGCTGTTTTACAGGATTCTGTAAAACAAAATTGGTTCTTAATTATAAGGAATATTTATTATTTAAAAAATATCCAATAACTTCATTAATTTATTACAACAGCTATCCATAACTTACGAAAAGAGAACTGAAATTAAGGATGGCTAATTACTTTCACGAGGTTTGACGCTCTGAAACACAAGTGTCAGACTAATAACATGGATAAAATATATAGTGATAGCAGCCAATTTATGTAACAGGGTAGTTTTGCAGTTGATACTTGATCATTTTTGATTAATATCCATCGTATGTTACATAAAATTATTTACATGAAATATCACACAGTTAAAAACACAGACGCTAACATATGAGTTATTAGTAGTGTCTCTAAAAAAATCTTGAAACTTGTCCAATTGATTGTTGAGTGAAGTATTTCATTATTCTGACGTCTGTTGGGTTCTTACTTGATTATCATAATTAATTCGATTTCAGTCTGTGATACAAGTAGTGCTCTACAATAAAATTTTAAATTTCATTCCAAGCTTTTATAAATTCCTATTTTGTTCTACAATTAGTGAATTATTTTAATAAAATTTTAATAAGATTTATAAAGTATTTTTAGAAGTATTACTCCCTAGAGGGCGCTAGGTCTAAATGTAAGCGTCTGTCTTTGTACATAATTATGGAAGTGACGGGCAAAGCAGGTGCTTCGAGTAACTGTTGTTGTGCTGCATTTCCTGTTTCACAAATTTGGAGTCAGATGTCTTTCACAGATATTTTTCAGTTTCCGCTCTCTTGTGTGTATTTATAATCGGGCAACACGTACAATGTCTCATTAGCAGTAAGTGGGAAGTTTAACAAAAAACCAACTGAAACCCAAACAAGCTTCATATGCATGTCAAGTAACATGGTTTTGATAGCAATTTAAGTTTTCAGTATTATTATCTTACTTAAAGTAATGGGTAGATGGCTGTAAATAAACATAGTGATATGATTGATAGAAACGGGAACAATGCACACTTAAGAAAACCAAAACAGTCCTGTGTTTTTCATATTTATTAATACGTAATTCAAGCATGGTAATTCAAGTACATTACTTAAAGGAATGTGCATAAAAAATGAAGGCCACCCTTCCATATTTCAAATTTATCACATATACTTTATCCTCTGCTTATTAAAATCTATTGGTTTATTCCTTAAAGTCTTTAAAGTAATGAATATCTAAAAGTAAAAGATTCAGTTTGTCGCTATACAAACCACACCAGTAACTAGTATCAACACATTTGTTATTTTCTGTAGTAGTCAGTTCCTACGACTACTAATAGCACTGCAAACATAAAAAGACTGTGAATGGTAAGATCTGTCTGACCACCAGTGTTCAGAGTATGCCTACATATAGTTGAGCATGTATTACAACAACAAAAATGACCAATCATTCGAAGGAAACTCATTTGTTTTGGTGTAGAAAGGCTCCTGTATTTCTCCCTCTTTGTTAAACAAAATGGCGAAAATATGTCACAATGAACATATTGTTCACCAATGCTGTATGAAATATGCCACAAACGATTGAAATAGTTTATTAGAGATTATGATATAAGATGTTTCAACTAAGAACTGGTGTCATTAATTGGATATTTCATCAAAGTCAAAAATGTAACTGTTTCCAACGTAATACACACACACTTTTAACATTTTCCACTATTATAAGTATAATAAAGAGTTAATATGGTGACAATAAATGGTTTTGATACAGGACAGAAACTTTCATATTCAACATTATACTCGACTATTCTTTTTTTTATTTCCTGTTATCGATCTTGAAACTATGATCAAGAAGTGGTCAAAATAAGCTGCAAATGAACAGACCTGTATAGCCTCGACTATTCTTTTTTACTTCCTGTTACTGATCATGAAACTATGATCAAGAAGTGGTCAAAATAAGCTGCAAATGAACAGACCTGTATAGCCTCGACTTTTCTTTTTTTATTTCCTGTTACTGATCTTGAAACTATGATCAAGAAGTGGTCAAAATAAGTTGCAAATGAACAGACCTGTATAGCCTCGACTTTTCTTTTTTTACTTCCTGTAACTGATCTTGAAACTATGATCAAGAAGTGGTCAAAATAAGTTGTAAATGAACAGACGTGTATAGCCTCGACTATTCTTTTTTTACTTCCTGTAACTGATCTTGAAACTATGATCAAGAAGTGGTCAAAATAAGTTGTAAATGAACAGACCTGTATAGCTCGCTAACTGTACACGTAAACAAGGAGACATTTTCTTAGTAAAAGATGGATTAGTTATAAATTATGAATCTCTACCACACGGAATCTATGTTAACTGCCAAAAATACATTTTCAAGCATGTTTTAAAATTTTGACCATATCTTACAGGCAAATTATCCATCCAATCATCTGTAGTCCTCTGTATATTTTCTTTTATGAACACTGCCCAGTAAAAGTGTATCATTGATACTAAAGCTATGATTTAACAAAACTATATCGTTGACTGTACCCGTTTATAGTTGAAAAACAACAAAATAGTTATAATTCTTGGAAAACTTCATAACCGTTTTTTTTCTTCTTATATCGAAACAACAAGAAAAAAGGAAAAGAAACAAAAATTAATGAGCCCCTTCATTTAATGAATTGATGGATTTTGTTTACCATAAAACAGCTACAAGATTTACCATAGATCACTTGTTCTGTTGTGGCACAAAGCTGCACAATGGACTATCTTCACTGTGCCTGTTGCAGTAACAGAACTCCAAATTTTGGTGTTATGAGCATCGAATTTATTGTTAAAATAAGACACTTGGCAACCATATTTGATACATTCACATTCATTTTAAAGGTAGCAAAATTCTGTTACAAAAATATTTTATAAATCACAGTTTTGGAGACTGTTTTTCACGAATATTTGATTGTTAGTTTGTGTATTTTTAGCTCAAAGTTACACAATGGGCTATCTATGCTCTGCACATCACGAGTATCGAAACCGAATTTTTAGCGTTATAATCCCTCAGACTTACTACTAACCTAACCAAAGACTTCGCGAATGCAAAACTAATTAATTCTTAATTGTTATTATCTATTTCTTATAACTTCTTCGATTCAACAAAATAATAACTGCTGAGCTCTATAAGGCAATTTCGGAGAACTAATCCAAACATCTACTAGGAAAAAAAATATAAATAAGACAATTATAAACACACTTAAAACAACCTTCCAAAGACAAGATTTGCACGAGCCATTTGTTTTTTTTTCTTTTCGTTCCTACTCTTTGCAATAGCGATTCATGGTCTAAGTCGGTGGTCCCCAATAAGTGGCCTGCGGGCCAAGTTAGGCCCTCAAAAGCCTGATTTGTGATCCACAGTATGATCAGATACTGAAAAAAGTAAGCAAAACAGTATTTGGGGAATGGTGTATTTCTTAACAAACTCAGGCTCGGCTGTTGGATTTATGGTCATCATCTGAAGTGTGGAAAATAACTTGGGCCACTAGTCTAAACTATGTACCTAAGCGGAAGTTACCTTCAGTTTGTTAATCAAAATACAGTCAGTCAAAAATTAATGGAAACATAACTGCCATTTATATGTACTTAAATGCTTCTTCTTCTGATATATTGATAGCATAAATTACTTATTCGTTTCCTTCAATTGGAAATTCCCTTAATTTATGTCAGTTAACTCTCAGCTTACAGGAATCTAATGTTCATATTCAGCTGACGTTTTTGTAAGTACCATTTTATTATATTACAGATCTTGGCTATGGCCACTTTCTTATGTTACAGTTTAACCACAAAAATGTTTATAGGGATAAAATCTTTCTTTTCAAAACCCCTCAATAAGTTTGTTTCTTTGTAATTAAGCACAAAGCAACACAATGAGCTATCTGTGCTCTGCCCACCACGGGTATCGAAACCCGGATTCTAGCGTTGTAAGTCCGCAGACATATCGCTGTGCCACTGGGGGGCCCCTCAATACGTATAGAGCAACGTGCCCATCTTCAAAATATTTTCAACAGTTTACGAGATTCGTGAAATTTTATAATGAATGTAAAAAATCTTTAAATTTTGTAAAGAAAGCAAACCCGTTAGATGTGAACGCAATTTAAATCGAAACGGGACCATCTTACGTTTGGAGAGAAGATAAAAAATAGATACTCTTTCTAGGTGCGTTTTTCTACTATTACTATGATAAAAAAATTATAGATCGTGCGAATAAATTTTTTTTAGATAAAAATATTTAACATATATATATATATACATAATATTCTCTCAGTTTGTTAGTATTTAATTTTCACTGCGTTGATATTCTTAACTGAAGCTTAGACCCTTTTTTGGGAAATTATGTTAATTCTATACGATCACAAATAGTTTGTTTCGGAAATTCACACAAAGCTTCGCAAAGGTTGTCTGCACTAGATGTCCTTAATTTTGGACGGATAGACTAAAAGGAAGACACTGTAATTCCTGGGCTACTCTGAGCGAATAATAGAAATTGAACATCGCTCTTTTGACGTATCTAGCTCCAAAGTGCGGAGTGTATTTTGCCGCAACGAGAGGCGAATTATAGAACCTAAGATTCACAGACCGGCACGTCAACCATTTGGCCACGCCCGATCAACGATATCAAATGATGCCTCTTTCATATACAAGTCGCTTTATAGCTAAATTAAATAGTCTGACTTCTTTAATTTCTATTTTGAGAGGTTACTGTGGCATTACTCTTGAAGAAGTGGTATGCATTTTAACAACTTTGCAGTCGTACGAACGTACAATGCATTAGGATCAATTTTGTTTCGTAAGAAAAGGAGCACATAAAACGGTTCCCCAGTGGGTCAGCGGGAAGTTTACGGATTTACAACGCTAAAATCCCGGGTCGATTCCATTTGGTGGGAAGAGCGCAGATAGCCTATTTTGTAGCTTTACGCTAAAATAAACAAATACTAATGAACTAGAAATGTGAATTTAATAGTTCGTCAACTATCACTCTTGATTTTTTAGTGGTTGGAGAAGCAAAATAATAAAAAAAAA